ATGCCCAGGCACCATCCCCTAACTTTGCTTGTCAAACACTTCCCCCCATCCCCAACATACCTGGGGCAGCCTGGACCCCATTCTGGGAGGGAGGCCAGAGCCAAGTGTGTGCTAGAAGCTACTATGGCCAAGGCAACAGAGTAGTGGGGAGGAGAGTTGTCGGTGGTCAGAGACTACTGAGTGGCTCATTCCTCATATACTCCCTAACCCAAAGCAAGGTGCTGCCAAGTAAGGTGCCAGATTAGGCTCTGCCCTCCCTGGTACCCAGCAATCCCCTCCCCACCCAGTGGGCCTAGGCTTTCCAGTTTTATTTTCCACTGTAATTGTTATTCACACTCACTCTACCTGGGTGGGGGGGTGGGGGGACTCCTGCTGGGCCAGGATTTAACCCTTAAAGTCCCAGGCCTAAGGGCTCCCAGGGATTCCAGAGCCCTTCCCAGCTAGCCCCAGTGGCCTTGGGTCAATGCCTGGGGTCACTGAGTATCTACTCTCCCGAGACATACTGCACTAATTGAGACAGAGTGCTCAGAAAACCAGGGCAGCATGGGTGTCCCTCATCCCTGAGAAAGAACGTGGAAAACTGGAAAAGAGAAACAGTATGCCCAGGGTTGCTCGTGCCACAATGCGGGGGAACCTGCCACTGCCCAGAGACCAGACCCCAGGCATGACTCATAGTCATAGAAGGTAAATCCATTCATTCCTGAAGCATAGACAGGAGAGGTCCTAAAAAATCCCAGGCATCTGCTAGGCTCCTTTAGACTCCTGCTTCTAATCATGGTGACCACTCATCTCTGTTTGCTCAGCATGCTGATTAGCAATGTATTCTTTCATGCTTAAAAGCACCCCAGTTACTTATAACTCACGAGCCCTTTTCTCAAATGCAGGATACCCCTGTGCCAGAGGTGGAGGAGCAGCAACAAGGAGAAACACATCTGTATTTCCTCGGAAAGCCTAGACCCAGCCATCTCCCACCCCCAGAGGGCCTGGAGATGGAGGACAGTGAACAGACCACACAGCGGAGCAGGGGCCAAAGCCCCTAAACAGGCCCCAAGTTACCAGAGGAGTCAGGCCTGAGAATGGCGGGGAGCCAAGGCTGAGGTCACCTAGGCTTGTGGCCTTTAAGGACACGGACAAATACAGAGCAAGGAGGGGGTGGATGGGAAGGAGAGGGAGCACAGAGGAAAACGAAAGCGCAAAAGAGCTGAGGGGAACTGGTCTGTCCCTGCTTCTGCCCTGCCCTGTAGAGTAGCCCTCTCTTTACATCCAGTCCCTCAGGGACACCCACTGGCCCCCTCCCGCCTCCAATCCCTCCATACTGATGCCCTGATTCTCTGGCTGACTATCCAGGGAAGCCTCTAAATCATAGGGGACGAGTCACATTTCCAAATCAAGCATAAGAGCCTCTTGCTAGCCTCCCTTGATTCTGCCAAATCCCGTCATCCACTAAAAACATCCAAGGCCATCAAAGGCACATTGCAAAACAATTCTTAGCTTCCATGTGGTGCCTAAGGCTGCAATGTCACTCATCACCCTGCGAAAAGGCAGGGGTCTCTACTGCCTGTTTCATTGCACTCCAAACTGAGAGCAAGTGTGGGTCATGCTTTGAAGCTGGGGCTACAGCTTACCCCTTCCCCAGGTGGGACTGGGTGGAGGGGGCTCCTGGCCTGCAGGGGGTGACCCAACTCCTTGGAGAAAGAAGATCCTGGAAAGCAGTAGGCTTGGTTCCCATTCCAGCGCTCTGCCAATCCTTCTGCTCTCCTGCCCCTCCCACTTATACACCAGCTCAACCAGGAACTTGTCTAACTGCAAGAGACAAGGATGCCTGGGTTCTCCCAGCATTACCCTCTTCCGCTCTGGGAAGCCCTGTCTTCCCAGGCACAGGCAGTCCAGGTCCCCTTGGGGGAAGGTTCCTAGGAGGGATTTCCCAGGGCATATTACCACTCACTTAAGATCATGTCAAGCAAGCTCTCACTGAAGAAAACCAGCCTGACTGTTCCCAGCTCTGAAGAGCAAATAGCCAACTACCATGAAGGATGGCCAGCAAACCACATGTTCAGTCCAAAATCCCAAGTGTACTCTATTTTTAAAAAAATATTTTCATTGATTTTTTAAAAAATTATTCTTTATTGCTGAAAATATTATATATGTTCTCCCTTCCCCCATTGACCCCCTCCAGCCACCCCCAGGTCTTCAGCATCCTATTGTCTATGTCCATGGGTTATGCATATATGCATACAAGGCCTTTGGTTGATTACTTCATTGATTTTGAGAGAGAGAGAGAGAGAGAGAGAGAGAGAGAGAGAGAGAGAAAGAAATATTTATGTGAGAGTGAAACATCAATCAGCTGGCTTCTGCATGTCCCACTGGGGATGGAGCCCACAACCCGAGCATTTGCCCTGATCAAGAATGCAACCAGAAACCTTTCAGTGCATGAGAAGATGCCCAGCCAACTGAGCCACCCCAGCCAGGGGCAAAATCACAAGTGTACTCTAAAGACAGCAAAGAGCCATCTCAGCCCCAGGCACATCAGGTCTCAAAATGAAGGGGGAGATCAGGCCCAGCTGGAGTGTCAAATAAGAGTCTGCTGGGGGAAGTCATCTCCACAGAAATAGAAAGGGGAGGACTGGTCTTTTGCCCTCAAGCAGCAGCAGCACTGTGCACCCACTCCACACCAGCCCAGGTGGAGCACATCCAAGGGGTGAGCAAAGGAGAGCCAGAAGCTTGGAGAAGTATGGCCTGGAGGGCTCGACTGAGGGGAAAACCTGAATAGGCAGTTCCAGAGAGCAGAGGCTGGTCTATGGCAGGAAAAGGTCTAAGCCTCAGCCAAGGTTCTCCCTTTACTTACCCAGCTCTAGGCCACACTCCCACCCCAGACTTGGGGCTCTGCCCTACTGCCCTTTCTGAAACCTTTCTTATCCACTGCATTTTACATTTTGCTTATTAGGCCCAGGCCAAGTAGCTCAGTTGGTTAGAGGGTTATCCTGACATGCCAAGGTTGTGGGTTCAATCCCTGGTCAGGACACATACAAGAATCAACCAATGAATGCATAAGTGGAATAACAAATTGATGTATCTTTCTCTCCCTCTTTCTCATTCAATTTTTAAAAATTTTACTCTTAGGGCTTTTTGATTTATTTTTAATGGGAGGGGCATATTCAAGAGGGTCTTGGATAAGACCCACTTGGTCACCAGAGAAAGGTCCAAGAAGAGCCCTGACTCAAGCCACCTCCCAATTATACCTAAAGCCACACAACTGGTACTAAGTTAAATACTGCCTTCCTCTGCAGTCTCTCTTGGAATCCCCTCTCGCCCCTCCCGAAGGAATAACACTTTCTCATGAGCACTGAGTTTCTTCAATCTTCTATCAGAGAAGAGCAAGAGCACAAAGGTACGTTCCTGTTCATTTTAATTTAGTTGATGCTATTTCATGAGAAAACAGAGAGGTGAAGCTGCTGAAATTCTTATGATCGTGTAAGTACAGAGATGTGGCTGGTATCCCCAAGAGCTGGTAGAGTAAAAAGAACCAAACCTCTTAGTCAGGCACACCTGGAATTAAATGCCAGCTCTGGCCCTCAGAGCAACTTTCTTCTCTGAACTCCAGATTCCTCATCTAAAAAGGATACACCAAAATGAACCTTACTTAAGAGTGATGGTAAGGATGATAGAGTCGCTGTGCACAAACCTACAAGGATAGGAACCAACATCCTTCCCCGCTTCCAAACCCACAGACAGAGGTAGGTCTGCCCTGGGCTTCAGTGGTTC